GCCGGCCACCGCTGCCGCCGCCGCCTCCGCCACGATCCGCGAACGAGTCCGCGCCCGGCCCGAGCAGCCGAGCCGCCTGGGCTCGCGGCGCGGCCGGGCTCCGGGGCGAGGGCTGCAGTCACCGCGCACCGCGCTCCCGCACGCTTGCTCCCTCCCTCCCCCCGCTCCGCTTTTATATTCACATACTTTTACCAGACATTCGTTTAGAGTTTAAACAATCCATTCAATTCCTAACAATTTCCCAATTTCTGAGGGAGCTCTAAAGCCTCCCGCAATCTCCTTGAACTGATCAATCACAATCAGAGGGTGGAGGAGAGGGGAGAACCGGCTTCACAGGGAGGATTGCAGGCTCAGAAGCGGCTGAAAAACCAGATTCCTTACTTCCCTGATGAGAGGCAGATGGAAAGACCCCTCCGGGGGCCATCCGACATTAAAGGCGGGCCACTCGGATGAACAAAAAGTCTGCCATTTACTCTTTCTGATGATAAGGGAAAGGTTTTTAGCTCGTTCCTTGACTTCTGACCAGCGGTCCAGGGTCAGAGACAAAGGAGTAGAGACAGACTGGCCCATGACTTCAAACACACACACACCAATGACAAATAACAAGGAACAAAAAACAAGGACAGACACAACGCGTTGAGACAAAAATCGAAGGATCCAAAAAGAAGGATTTACAGAGCCAATTGACCTAGCTGGCAACAGAATTACAGAACCAGAAACAGAACCAGAATCAGAATCCGTATCTAACAGACGGAACAGACAAGAGTCCAGGCGTCCCTGGTCCTCTCCAGACTCCACCAGGGCGTCCCCCGGGGCTGTGGCCTGCGACCTCCTGACACGTCTGTCTGTCGCAGTCGGGGGAGGCTCACGCCCCTCCCCGACAGCCACCAGACCGAACAGATTTGCCAGCTCTGACTAAATTTGTGTTCCCAATATCTAAGCGATCGCTATTCAGAAAGGCGCCGTCACTTACCCCAAGAAGCGTCTGTTGGAACCCAGAGGCGGCTGCAACAAATATCTCGCTGGGGCCTCCAAAATGTAAAGCCCAGGACGCAAGCCGCTGTCACAAAGAACCAAGAGACGCTTCTCATGCAAAATGCAAAGGGTTTATTTAATTACCAACATGTTGGGGCTTACCAGCTTACTCTGAACGCAGCAGAGCAGCGGCTGCAAGCCCCGACTAAGAGTTTAAGCACAGGTTATATACCCCTCTAGCAAACGGGGGAGCAAACGGGGGGAGCAAGGGGGTCATTCTTCTGGGAATCTTGGCGCCGTTGTGAATTAATGCCTGTCTAGTTGCTAGTTTTTCAGTTTACTCCCGGGCTGCGGCCATCTCCCGTAACCTCCCTGCTGCAGCTGTCTCCCATAAAAGTTGTTTGTTCTGTCTGCCCCTTCTGACCTTCCTGATTGCCCTGGTGCCGTTTGTTCCATCTGCCTTTTCTGACCTGATTATATTGGCACCTCTCACCTGGCCACCCTGAGGACTATGCACTGAGAGCGTTTGACATGGGAACTGCTGTACAGTGCTCCGAGCTTATTAGCGATGCGCGCGTATTTTAGGTTTTAAAAATAGTTTCAGATTTTAAGAGCCTCTTCACCTACATACTAGTAGTTGTCCTTAATCCTCATTTTACGCGAAGGAGACGTTTCTGAGCGGAGCTCCGTTTGGGACTGAGCGGAGAGAGCAGTCAGAGCAGGACATGCCGAGCTTCCTGGGAGTAGGATGGCCCAGGTGTGCTACCCGGTGAGCTGCCTCCTGCTTCACCTTTAGCCCGTCTCCCTCGACTCCCACTGGAGCTCTGAGGACATTGTCGAATTGCACCCACATTCTGAGCACTGAAACTTGCAAATTACTTTAGATATCATTTCTCCCATCCTTGGTTTTACAGGTGAGGAGCGGGCGGTCTAGGTGGGCGGTCTGTTACAGAATTTACCAGGCGACCGAAAAATATGCAGGAATACCGGGAGATACAGGAAAAACCCATTTATTTTCAGATGTTTCACGCGTACTAGTACAGTGACTCAGGGGTCAGTTCCCCAAATCCTGAGTAAGCCAATATGGAGGAAGCTTTCTCTTTATTCCCTTTGGTTTCTTCGTCCCCCAAATATAGATGGGACTTCCGGACCTTTTGTGGGCTTTGCAAAAAGCCCCATGTGTTGGGATGGGGGCCGTGAGACCACACCTAAAGGCCTGGCCTGGTGCCAGCACTGATAACCCCTCTGAGGGTTGTGTAATGTTCATGGTTTATGGCCTCTGTAAAATGGGAGCATTTAGGTAAACCGGTCTTGCAAGACCAGATTGTGGAGAAAGAGGCAGTGACTTAATTATAGGCTATCAAGAATGTACATTATGTTACTGCACAGATTTAGATTGCTAGTCCCCCAAAATGTCTTATTTTCCCCATCAGGTCTGTTAGTCAGCATCTATCCATTGAGCACCTACCCATTGCTGTTTCACCAAAGGGGCGAAGAGTCCCACAGTTGGAAACTCACTCAGACCCTAGGTAGCCAGTAAGGTTCTTTCTGGGCCTGAGGGCTGGGCAGAGGCAGGATTTTAGACAGAGGAAGGAGTACAGAGGTCAGTCCAGCCCTTCCCGGGACTAGAACCAGGCAGATGGACAAACTGTTCCTGAGCGTGCTTCCCACATGGCTCAGTTGTGCAGTGACTGCCACAGGGTCCCCATCAAGGATCAGAACCACCGGAAATACTCCTCTTGCTCACCACCCTCTTCTACAGCCAACGCTGCCCCCTTGGGCAAGCCGTTCCCTGGACTGTTTACAAGGCCCTGGCCACTTCTGGGGCCTCTTTTTCTCCTGAGAGCTCCACGAAGCCAACAGGGCAGGCCCTTGACCCCATGTTAGAGACGTGCTCTGGGCTGCACACACATGTGTGGGAATGCTGGGAGCGCTGCCGTGTTTCAACACAAATGTTATGATCATGCCCTCATACCATTTGCAAAAATCAAATTCTGCGTGGAGAAAGTGATTTTGGACATTGAAGCAGAATTTTTGGACTGGGCAGGATGTCCCGGATTCTTTGTCCGCCGGAGTCGAAGAATGAATCCACGGACAGAAGGTGGTCTAACAAAGGTGGAGATTTATTAAAGAGCAAGTACAGACTCCCACGTAGGAAGGAGAAAGGTCCCACTGAGTTCCTTTTCCCTAAGGCTTATAAAGGCTGTAGATTTTGATGCCTTGATATCCCCTCTGATTGGTTACTATTCCTACTATTCCCTTGGACTGGTTACTACAGTAACTTCTGAGCTCAAAGGTCAACCTCACCCCCACCCCCTTCCTTATTGTTTTCCTATTCCCTTTGGGCTTTCTTCTTCTCCTTCTGGATGAGGGGCTCCTTTCCTTTATTTTGTAAATGTAGACCTTTTGCTTCTCCCAGCTTCCCCTATTCTATGGAAATGTACCTTCTGCTGCTCTGCAGCCCTGTGCTTCTTCCATGGTCCTCTATTTCCAAAATTTCTAAAATTTCCTAAATCTATCTTTTTCACTCCTAAAAATTCCTGTTTCAGACATTTTCTTAGTGTAGGAAGAGACTTCACGGTTTTGGTATTTTGTGTGTTAATAATGAGCAAGGACGCTCTGCAGGTTAATCATGGGGCTGGTGAGCAGATCCAACCTCCTGTATTTTACAACTTTGAAGGGACTAACTCGATTCTTCACATTTCCACACGCGTGGTTTTCTATAATGAAAACACAACGGAAAGGTGATAGCCATCTGTGGAGGATAATTACGAAAATAAACTTCCCTCACAGGAATGTCATTGCCCTTTCCAGTAAGGAGTCTTAGAAATTCAATTGCTCTCTAAGATTTAAATAAATATGAACAATAGCCACAGATTTAACCTAAAACTTATAAAAACCCGCAGGTGCACAGTCTCTCACCTCTCTCCTTTCTTTCTAAGCAGAGGGTAGGAGACCACTTGTTGTTTTCTATTTTCAAAAGTGCCAACAGGCTTCACTCACAGTTTCTCATCAAGTATCAGACGTTGTGGTTTCAAATGGAATTTTAAATACGGCAAGTCAGTATTCAGGGCTTTGAATTTATTTCCATAAACCCCAGTGTGGACTGTGATGTCCTTAGGGTGCGTCTTAGCCTCCCCTCGGCTCCACTCTGGGGCTCAGCGGTGGGCCCTCGAGGAGCCCTCGGGCTTTGGTCAGAGGGTGGGCTCTGGGGTCAGCTTGCCCAGTACAAATCCTCACCCATGTTATTATTTTTAAAGTGGTGGGAATGGAAGCCAAGACAAGGGACACCATTAGTAATACCTTCCCCGCAGAACTGTGAGCATTAGACAAGACCAAGTGGGTGTTGTCTTAATGCTGTGCTTGACCATAGACATGGTAAGAATTAGGAGCTGTGACTATTTCCTGATATCTTATTTCTCCATCCCTATCACATTCCCTCTGAACTCTGCTTTCTGTCGGCCAAGGTATAGCTACCTAATTCCACAAACTAAACGCCCAACAAGAGGGAGCCAAGGTGGGTGGGGGCTTCTCCGCTCTCTCTGCTTGGAGGTTACATGTATTTCTGCCACAGAGATGACTGGTAGGCAAGTTTCTGTCTTTAGTACCAGTAATAGCTAGTGAGTGCTCCTTGGCAGGCACTGTTCTGAATCTATTTGCCGTGTTAATACATTGGATGAGCACACCACCTGAGGAGGTAGACACTGTTATCATGCCGAGGGCATACACGAGGCAACTGTAGTTGGGCCACCCCCATTAACCATACTCCGTTCCTGGCCTCCTATTTCCGTTCATCCCTGTGGGCTGACGTGGCTTTGCTGCCTCCCCTGCAATCACATCAAGAGGCAAAGCCAGTCTTATCGCCCATTACTCTGCCCAGTGGAGGCAATTATTAGCTCCGTTTATTGCTGAGCAAGTAGAGGCCTCTTAAAGAATCAAGCAGTTCCTTGCTTGTTAGATCACCATCACCGGGGGCCATGCTATTACCTCTACTCTGGTATCATCTCTGCCAAGTGCAGCTGCATAGATGTACATGAAGTCCTGGGGCAGGGAAATGATTTTGAAATAGGAAGTACAAGATTTTAATCCAAGTGCTGTTGCGTATTGGCTCTGTGTTCTCCCTTAGGCTCAGTTTCTTTGTGATATGGGGATACTAGTCTACAGCAAGGGGTTATTGTGAATACTGAATGAGCAGAGACTGGCGGAACCTGGCTCATAGCAAGTGCTCATTGAACGGCTACAGTAATGATCATGATATTAGTGTACAGCCACCTTCTGCTGGCGCTTTAATAAACCCATTAGGTTAAAGGCAACTTGATCAAAAGTTGTAAATTTGTTTGCTCTTTTATTCTTCAGGAAATAGGTGCTTCAGCTTTTCATTTATACTTTCAAAATTCATACTTAACTCTTTGAGTTGTATCTTCAGAGTCAAGCATTTTGTATCTTAAGGGATACAAGATCTGCTCCTGAGAGAGGGAGTCGGCATCTGGACACTGGCCACGGACAGGGGACCATTGCACGGTGATGCTCTCTGTATGCAGCTGAATGAGACTCCTGCCTTTCACTCCCCACCACTGCACTAACCCTGGGGGAGCCAGAGACTTCACTACAAGTAGCAGAAGAGACGAGAAACCCAGGAGACTTAGCAACAGCAGCCAACTACATCCGCCCCACCCAACCTGGCCATTCCTCTCCGGAGCTCTGATCTTGGAAGGGCGGGAAGCTCTGACACTAAAGAGCCCAGATATCCCTGGGGGAGTGGGCGGGGCAGAGGACTGAGTCATTGTGACCCCTAGTTCTTGGCGTCGTAGCATCACTAATTTGTGCAAAACCCCTTTCTTGCTTTATTTATCTATGCATTCTCTCCCCCCGCCCCGTTCCACACTTTCATTCTTCCTCTAGAAAACCATTTTAATGGGTTCCACATGTATTTTTTGTTTGCGTATGCCCTGGCAAACTTTGTAGTGTTGTTTCTGTGTGCACATAGTTTCCATGAATGTAAATGGCTCTGTATTAACTCGTTGTTTCGTACTTTTCATTGAGCACTGCTTCGAAGATCTGCCCATGTCACAACGTGGTCTGTTGTTCCTAACTGCTGTTGGAAGCAATGGGTCTGGAGATTTTACACCTAAAAATTGAGACAGTTTGTTAGTACCTAAAAGGGAAACTCTGTGCTCTGTCCCAGATTTCATCCAAGGTGGAGATGAACCTCTGTACAAAGTGTGTTTGAAGGCAGTTGTCTGGGGAAAAAGATCTTGCGTCATTGTACCTCAGCAGGTCCAATTCTTTTAATTAACCAGCTACAAACGTATCCACTGCTCCATCCATGCTGTGTGGGGACAAACAGTATAATAAACAAGAGGCATTGTGAACGGAGGCTATTCTGGGAGCTACAGAAAGTAAGGACATGGGGGTTGAGAGGAAGCAGAGAAAACTTCAACCAGGGACATCAGGAGAAAGAAGAGGGAGGATTGGAGTTGGGACTTCAAAGCATAAACAGGAATAAATAGGGTATTGATAGAGAATGTGAGCAACATAGAAGTAGTTGGAGAAATGACATGAACAAAGTAATATAAGTTAGAAAGTGTAAGTACCGCTGCGAGGAGGCCAGGAGGGAGGCAGCCCCCCCCTTCCTTCCTGACTGTTTTTTGTTTTCTTTTTACCTATTTTTTACCTCAAGCAAAATATTAATTTATCTTACTGTTGACGGTTTGCTTTAAGTAGTCTGTAATCCATAGTGATAATTACACCCTAATAGATTCCTTGTTATTCTCCATCATCAAGATGAGGAAGCAGTGGCGGGTCTGTGTGAGGAAATCCAAGGTGCATGTGCTCCTGTGTGTGGGAGTGAGTGGTCCTGTTTCACATTGTTAAAGTGGCAGTTTTCAGATCTTGCACCCATACCTCGGATCCTCATAGATTCACTTACCCTTTCATTTCATACTAGAGGCCCAGTGCACAAAATTCATGCACGGGTAGGGTCCCTAGGCCCGGCTGGTGATCAGGGCTGATTGGGGCCTTCCTTTCCCAGGGATGCCAGCCAGGGCCTTCCTTCATTCCGTGCTGCCCCCTGGTGGTCAGTGCACGTCATAGCGGGTGGTCGAACTCCCGGTCGGTCGAACTCTCAAGGGGACAATTTGCATATTAGCCTTTTATTATATAGGATATTTTTTAAAAATAAAAAAGAAATACCCAAGACCCTCTAAGCTACGTTGTGGACCACTTAGGCTGTAACAGGTGTGAGGGTCGTCAGAGTGTATATGATGTTGCTGTGTTTTTGCATTTTTTCTTCAACCTGACTTAACAGGACCTTCCCAAGGTGCTTAAACTCCTTACTAGACAGTGAGGCACCACCGTTTGTATTAATGAACTCTAGACTTGAAATGCTCATGTTCGTCCTACTGATCTTGCCTTCCTCCTAAAAGTATTCCTCATGAATCCATTCTCGCCTGAATTTGTCTCTGGTGAAACATCTGTCATCCAGAGCTACGCCTTAGTGTCAGCCTCAATGGTCACGCCATCGAGGAGGGAACCCGTGTCAGTTGTTTGGGGAATTTAATGTTGACAGTATTTGTATGGTGGGAAGGATCTCGAAACTTCAAGTCAACAGTGGGGTCTTGCAATCAACAAGCTAAAATCTAGGTTCCAAAGGGAGAGCATTGGCCTTGCTACAGACGCAGCAGGGATCTCTGTTTTATTCTGTCTCCTTTTTATTTTTCCAGAGCATTTCATCAAGGCCCTGCCAGAGTACCACGTGGTGGCACCCGTGCGAGTAGACGCTCGAGGGCATTTCCTGTCCTATGGCTTGCGCCCTCCCTTCACCAGCAGCAGCAGGAGGAAGAGGGACTTGGAGAGCCCAGAGGACTGGGTGTACTACAGAATTTCCCACGAGGAGGAGGACCTGGTTTTTAACTTGACGGTCAACCAGGAATTTCTTTCCAAAAGCTACATCGTGGAGAGAAGGTATGGGAACCTGTCCCATGTTAAGATGGTGGCTTCCTCCGGCCCCCCCTGCCATCTCCGGGGCACAGTCCTGCAGCGGGGCACCAGAATCGGGACTGCAGCCCTGAGTTCCTGCCATGGACTGGTGAGTGTGTGCCTGGCTCCATCACCTCCCTCCCCTGTCCCCCGACCCCAGGCGCCTTGACCTGCACACCCATGGCCGATGGGTTCACAGATGCGGTCAACACATGTGAATTGAACACTTATGATGTGCATGATCGTGGTCTCTAAATGTGTTAAGGAGAAGGTGCATAAAGTTAAAAGCCAGTAAATCTGGGGGATGGAGAGGAAGGGCCCTGAGTAGCAGGGGAGTCCAGCCTGCAGCCAGGGTTGAGACACTGCTCTCGATTGCTCCCAGGCTGGGAATAGAGCAATGGCACCTTCTCCATTGCACATGGTCCTTGCAGGTCCGGAGAACCACCATGTGGGCATTTTCAGATTCAGATTTTAGACTCATACTAAATTTAGAAGCAAATATTAATTAATGGAATTATGTGGTGGTAGCCAAGACGATGGAACATTTTTAGATTCAAATCATTGAGTGATTTTTTCCAGAAGAACCAGTCCACTGGGATTACTTGGGAGCCTTTCACACACAATTGGAGAATCAATGGATGTTTCTAAAAAAGGCACCAAGACAGAGGATGAGTTGACTATGAGTGGTGGCTACATAATGCAATATACAGATCATGTATCATAGTGATGTACACTCGAAATCTGTATGACCCCATTAACCATGGTCACCCCAATACATTTAATTTAAAAAGTCACCAAGAGCCCAATGAGTTTCTTTCCTTTCTGTGAGGACACAAGCTGGCTGGCGTCAAGTTCATTTGCTCCCGTGCCATAATGCGCCAGGGACCACCTAGGTGGTCCTAGTCAAAGGGTAATGGTTGGGCTGGTGCCTGATTTTTCCTGATCACTTGTCTGGGGTCCCATCTCCACGGTATTCATTAGGCCTTCCATGGAGGGATGACCCACACTTAGACTCACAGGATGGCAGGCATAGGGTAAGCTGGCGCTAAGCCTCCCGCCCTGAGTGGCATCTGGAGGGCTTTCTGAGGAGGGAGGCACTGTCATGTGCAATGGACATCTGCGTCTCATTCCTGTGGCTCAGGCGGGCACAGTGTGTGCTTTGATGTGGTCCTCCTAATGCTAAAGGCTGCGTTCTCGTGGCGTTGTCTCTAATTTGAAGTTCTCTGTTGGAGCAGACTCAGATGGTTGTAAACTGAAGACCCAGAAAGGCCACCCATGACAAGGTGTGGGATGACCATCTCCCTCCACTTAATATCCTCTCACCTGGCTCTGTCCCCAACCCTGGAGGCTGCCTTCAGACTGAGTTAGCCCATGTCCCCAGCTTAGCAGCCCTCCCTCTGTCCAACTCAACCATGTTCATCACCCTTTCCTCCTCAACACCTCTATAGCTTCAAATTACAGAATTTATTTCTTTACAAAAAAATGTTTATTGATTTTTTTTTTTAGAGAAAGAGGAAGGGAAGGAGAGAGAGAGAAACATCGTTTGGCCGCTCCTGTATGTCCCCGACTGGGGATCGAGCCCATAACCCAGGCATGTGCCCTGATTGGGACTTGAACCAGCAACCTTTTGATGCACAGGATGATGCCCAATCCACTGAGCCACACCAGCCAGGGAAGAGTTTATTTCTTTTGCACAGTTTAGTTGATTTGTTCCAGTCTCAGTTCTTTGAAGGAGAATCCGTGTTCTTTAATCAATTAGGCTCAGAAGTCATCCTCAGTGGGAGTTGTGACCTGTGAGGATCTCAGTGGGTGGCTTTGGATTTGCTGCTACCAGGGCCCTACAGGATTTGTTCTAAGTTAGTTTATTCTTAGTATTTCAGTTTAGGTTTTTGTGCTTGGAGGATAGTTAAAAGGTTAGACTTCACACTTTTGTGGGATACAGGATTGGGGTTTAGACTCCTTATGGGCCCCCACCCCTTTCACCAAGGGCTCGGTTTAGGTACCCACCACCCAGATTGTATATCTGAGTCTGGAAAAAACATTTGTAGTTTCTGTTCACAGTCAGGGACAGTCTTCTCGCTCATGCTTTATTAAAGTAAAGAGGGTTCTTGGCTCCGTCCTAAACCCAGCCTCAATCAACTCCAGCCCTTGCCGGGCACTCAGTCCTGACCCCTAAGCTGAGTAGCTGGGCCTGGCTCTCTCCAGGACATGCAGCCTCAGCTCCCACCCACCTCTCCTTTCCCTTCCCTCCTGGCATTCTGAGGCTTCCTTTCTTGTTTTGGGCTTGACTGTGGATTACAGTATTGAAAGACGTTATCATTTTTAGTGTGTGTTTATTTTCAGTTAAATATTTTATTTGAAGTAGTTGTAGATTCATATGCAGATGCCAGAATTAAAAGCAAGTGATCCCAGGGACCCTTTGCCCACCTCCCCGACCCCCAATGTAACATCTTGCAAAATCACTCTACAATCACCATGCCCACCATTTCCATCACAATCCCTCGTGTTGTCCTTTTATGGTCACACATTTCCTTCCTGCCCCATCCCTCCTCAGGCTTACATTGTATATTTCAGTTCATGTCCATTTGAATTAATTTTTGGAAGGCAGCTATGCTCACCACTATACCACCAACGCAACCTTTGAATTAATTTTTGTATAGGGTGTGAGACTTAAGTAGAGGTTCATTTCCTCCCTCCCTTCCTTCCTTCCTTCCTTCCTTCCTTCCTTCCTTCCTTCCTTCCTTCCTTCCTTCCTTCCTTCCTTCCATGTGCCTGTGGGTATCCAATTGCTCCATTTTTTAAAAAGGCTACCTTCCTTTTGTAGGATTGCTTCTGTACTTGTCAAAAATCAGTTGGACATAGTTTTATGAGTCTGTTTCTGAGTTGTTGTTGTTTTTTTAAATGTGAGGCAAGGACAGTCTAGGTGAGGCTCCTTTCGTAACCACTTCTCCCATGGGGAAGGAAGCCCGGCCTCTCTACTCTCAGCTCGTCTGTGTTTCTGAGTTTTATGTTTTACTCCACCAATAGAATCTTCATTACCATAGCTATACAATTACTCTTAAACTTAGGTAGACTGACTCCTCCCATTTTACTCTTCTTTTTCAAAAACTGTGTTAGTAATGCTAGTTCCTTTGCCTTTCCATATAAATTTTAGAATAATCAGACTACAAAAATCTTACTGGGATTTTGATAGGAATTGCATTATAGGAACTGGGGCGGGGGTGGGGATTGACACTTGCTGTGTTTAATCTTCCAATCCATGAACATAGTAGGTTTCTTCCAGTTCTGCCCATGAGACCTGCGGAGGCTTACTGGTGGAACTGAAAGGTCCATGCAGCGTGGCCCTCCCTCCTTCCCAAGGTGATGACTACATAGCCTCTTAGGGAAAAGTGATAAATCCCACGCAGATGGCATTTCTCTCAGGACATTTCCCAGCAAGCAGTGAGAACCACCACGTGGGCATTTTCAAATTCAGATTTCAGATTCACAGGAAGTACAGGAGCACAAAGAAGTGAATATTAACCAGTGGAATTATGTGCTAGTGGCCAAGATGATGGAAAATTTTTAGATCCAAATTATTAAATGCTTTTGCCAGAAGAACCAATCCACAGGGTTTACTTTGGAGCCTTTCACACATAATTGGACAATTAATGGATGTTTATAAAAAAGGCACCAAATGAGTTTCTTTCCTTTCCGTGAGCACACAAGCTGTCTGGCTTCCAGTTCATTTGCTCACGTGCCATAATTCACCAATGCCCACCTAGGGTGGTCCTAGTCAAAAGGATAAGGATAAAGGATAAGGCAGTGGTTCTCAACCTTCTGGCCCTTTAAATACAGTTCCTCATGTTGTGACCCAACCATAAAATTATTTTCGTTGCTACTTCATAACTGTAATGTTGCTACTGTTATGAATCGTAATGTAAATATCTGATATGCAGGATGGTCTTAGGCGACCCCTGTGAAAGGGTCGGACGACCGCCAAAGGGGTCGCGACCCACAGGTTGAGAACCGCTGGTAAGGGCTGGTGTCTGTCAGTCAGAACCAAGTCCTGGCTCAGGGGGAAAAGGGCCCATAGCCCAATGTGGAGCATCCTTTTTGTAATTTGTCTGCCTAGATGGGGTGCCTTTTAAAACTCATCTGTCTGAGGAGGCACCTTCTAGAACAGTGGTCGGCAAACTCATTAGTCAACAGAGCCAAATATCAACAGTACAATGATTGAAATTTCTTTTGAGAGCCAAATTTTTTAAACTTAAACTATATAGGTAGGTACATTGTTATTAACTTAATTAGGGTACTCCTAAGCTGGCCTTTGCTAAAAACGTCCTCAATCTCATTGAGGTACATTCGCTGAGGTCGACCCCTTCCAACTCTCCCATCCACACTCGTCCTGTATACTTGTTTCGTCTATCTCCTTTCCGAAAACCAACTTCTGCGCATGGGCCATGAAGTTTCAATCTCACTGTACGTGCGTGCCCGCACGTGGTATTTTGTGGAAGAGCCACACTCAAGGGGCCAAAGAGCCGCATGTGGCTCGCGAGCCGTGGTTTGCCGACCACTGCTCTAGAATCTCATCTGTCTCCCTGCATGCTTTCCTGCAATTTGCACAAATGTTTGCTACCACAGTGGCCACGGAGGCCCCTACCTACAGGACCTGGCCTGGCTTTGTGGCCCCGAGAGGACAGTCACACGGGAACGCCAAAATCCATCCCCAGGTTGTTTCCCCAAAGCCTGAGGTATTCAGTTTCTTTTTCTCTTTAAAATTAGAGTTGAGGTACAGTATAGTTTCCGGTGCACAGCCCAGTGATTGGACATTTATATAACTTACAAAGTGGTCATCCCGATAAATCTCAGTGTCACATAGCAGTGTGGAGAGGTGGGCAGAGGTGTGCGTTAGTAACGGATCCTTTCCCCTTGCGCGGCAGCAAGAGGCGACCAGTTCCTTTCCCCAGCTCACCTTTGGGTCAAGGGGAAGAACAAGTGTGTGTCTATTTCCTTAAGCCACGGGGTCTCTGCTTCTGGTCTCCAGGGAACAGCTCCTTGAGCTGAACAAGGGAGGAGGCCTTCTCGAGAAGATGCTTACATGCAGGCTCAGGCCCTAGAAGTATGTGAAGAAGAGAAACCCCACCTCTGCAGTGAAACTTCTCTGCTGAACTGCATCCAACAGCCGAGCTTACGGCAACCCTTGTTTCCTTGGGTAGCCATCTTTCCATCGAACTGAAAGTGTGAATTTTGTCACCAAATGGAAGGTGTGCGCCAAAAAAAGCACTTTAATCTTCCTTCTCTTAGGAGGCAGGACACTATGAAACTTCAGAATAGCTTTCCAGCCTTTAACCAGCAAGCTATCGGTGTTTGCCAGGAGATGCTATTGCAATAATTTTAACTCTTTAAATGGTATCAGGTTCTAATTTGCAAAAATGCAAGATTTAAGTGTCCTCTGTGTTTTGCTGTGTAAATGCTACAAATGAGATTAGTGCCGTCCGATGGCGCCTCTGTGGAGAGGGGTGTATGTCGTTACACCACACGACTGACTCCCTCAGCTCTAAGCATACAATGGTTTCTGCCTCTTGCTCTTGAGCTCCAGCTGCAGCCGGGGGCGTGGCTGAGGAATGATCGCTGGCAGAGCCGGTGGGAAACTTGCCCGGTGGCTTCCAGCCCTCTCCCCATCCCAGGAAACGTGCGTTGAGTTGAGGGAGGCCTGTGTGCCCGGGTTTGTTGTCCCTCACGGGGGTGGGGTGGGGGGAGGGAAAGAAATGCTCTGTGCATCTACTAATGCTGCTCCCCGCCTGAAGAATTCGCCCTGACCCCTGACCCCTGACCTTTGGGATTGCAGGGTAAGACTCATGCTCACTCAGACATGAGAGGAGCGGGGCCTCTGGCCGGGGGGAGGTCGCCCTCCCTGTTACTGCTTTGTGTTCAGGTTCATCAACACAGGGGGTTCCCCCGCCCTCTCCCCGTCTTCTGCTCACTGTTCAGTTCATTGGGTTCATTCTGTGAGTTCCCAGCCTGATGGGTTGGAAGCGAGAGAGAGGACGGAAGAGCCTCTACTTAGAGGAGCAGCGTTACTTTCTTTCTTTTGCTGGGTCTTGAATTAGGGACCTTCCCTGTGTCCTGGGAGGGGCTGGAGAAGGAATGACCCTGGCTGTTGTGGGAGACCAGCGGCCAGTGCTCTGGCTGTGACTGGGCGAATTACTTGGCTTACAGTCCACACCATGCGGCACAGAGATGCCACTGCCTTCGCCTGCATAGCTCTCCCGCAGGCACTTCAGTGTGAATCTCATTTCTGTTTTCATGGCAGACATGGAAGATTAGGTGTCCAGAGTTTTCCATTATAGATGGCTCAATATTTCTCTTGTTTTTTTTGATGCAGCATGAATTGTAGGTCCAGGGAGCTTAAATATCAGCTTTCAGAAAGATCTAGTTGCTTTAAAAAATGTCTCCATTGACTGACAGATTTTAATAAGGACTTTGAGAAGTGAGGAAGCAGGAGGTCTGAGTTTATGCTTCGGTAACTAAAACACTGTTTTGTGTGTGTTTTTTAAAATATATTTTTATTGATTTTTTTACAGAGAGGAAGGGAGAGGGATGGAGAGTCAGAAACATCGATGAGAGAGAAACATCGATCAGCTGCCTCATGCACACCCCCTACTGGGGATGTGCCCACAACCAAAGTACATGCCCTTGACCGGAATCGAACGTGGGACCTTTCAGTCCACAGGCCGACGCTCTATCCACTGAGCCAAACCGGTTATGGCGAAACACTGTTTTACTTGGTTGTTGGAGATGATCTCTGAGTGTGACATGACGGGTTGTTTTTCTTACTGGGATGACACGCTTTGCCTCCTTGATTCTGTGACTGGAGGGGACAGGGTCCTTGCTGCCTAGTGTGAGACCCATGGCCCGGCAGCCTGGGCATCGCCTGGGAGCTTGTTAGAAATGCAAACTCTCAGGTTCTACCCTGACCTGTTCAATCGGAACCTAAGTTTGAACAAGATCCCCAGGTGGTGTGTATGTGCATTAAAATTTGAGAATCGTTGGCCCATCAAACCCAGAGACACTAATTCTATCTGAATACACTGTTTTATGTATTAAATCCCTTTGGCAAACATGGAACGCCTAATGACGCTCAGAAACAGTACTGGGGGTGGTGTGCTGTTCTAATCAATGTGGGTGCCAGGCTAGACGAGGAAGCTTAGGTGACATGATTCAGAAAAAGACTGAGGAGATCCACGGGATCTGGGAGCCAAAGAAGGCAGGTTAGAGTGGCCAGGTGTGCCCCTTGGTCTTCACTGCTCTCTGTCCTCTGCAGTCTTTTGCTATGTTAGAATTACCAGGACAACTTCCGGCTGTCCTCAGGCTCATTCCTTCTCATCTTGGGTGAGTGCGCTAAGCAACACTGTCTTGTTTCAGTGTCTTCATCCAAGCGCTTGAGAAGAGACGGGCTTTCTGGGCCCCCGGGAGGCTGGCACAGACATTGTGTAGACTTTCATTGCTACTCCCCAGGGGACGGAGCCTTGTGGATGCTACGTTTGGGTTAAGAATGAGGAGACCTTGATGTTTACGAATTTTTCCTTCAGAGATTGCAAGTGTGGAGTTTTCCCAGGTGTTGATGGAAGTCCAGGTATAAAAGGGCGATGGCAAAGCAAGAAAGGCTTCCTTCTCTGCTCTGTCCCCCGCACAGGGCACCCCGGGACAGGAGACCAGGCCTCTGCTTCTGGGCGGGGCCATCTTACTCCCCTGACCCCTTGTCCTTGACAAATAATTGGGGACTTAGAGAAGGCGCGCTTCTGTTTGTCTTTCCACTTCTTCAGAAACCACTTCTCAGTTAACCCTGCAGTTGTCCTGTCTGCCTTCTTCACTGATTGTACCTGGTCATTTCCTTTTCAAATAGTCCAACATGGAAACATCTGCCTCCAAACACGTTTCAAAGAACCACGACCTCCTGCGATTTCCCAGTGGTGTGTGTTGTGTGATTTTTTATTTCTCTCCTTGAGATAGTTCAGGTGTTC